GATATAAGATTTTTTCTTCTTTCTGCTACCTTTCATTTTTTATTTGATATGTATTTTTTTGTATGCGAATTTGTTTTAAAATTAAAATGAATAAACATCAAAATAAAATAATTTAATTAATGTGAGTCTCCTTGTTGGGACTGAAATCTTAGTTTTTTTTAATCAAGCCAATCTAAATCTTATCAACCTTTATGATTTCACTCCTTATTGTCACAAAAACAATCGACCAACAAAACCAACTGCAGCTCATTGGTTCAGAAACACATCACAAAGCATGTTGCTCCGACGATGTTTAATTTTGTTACAAACAGAAACATTTATGGTGATGAAAGCATTAAACATGTGTGAAATAAAAGGCTCCCGACTGAAGGAGGACAGATCAGGAGCAGTAGAAAGGTGCGGCGTCTACTCGACGTCTTTTGCGACTTTGTTGTTCAAAGAACTGACGGATGTCATCAGAAGTCACCACCTATCAAACAGTCACAGAACGGCACAGGTCAGGTGAGGGGTTCTTCACAGAAACACTGATGATGGTTCCATACTAATGTCACACAGATAAACTGTCACCAGTCATGAAAGTTAAGCATAGCATTTTATGAGCTCTAGGCCCCACCCTCCATAACTTTTACCCAGGTGGGGAAAAACCCTTATCTGTACTCACTTGAGTTTTATACTGTGACCCCTAACCTTAGCACCCGCTTCGGATGGTATCATCCATGAAATGGACATTATCAGTCCCATACAATGGCTTCAGAATGTCCCGCCTGTGCCGGTTAGCAGGTTCCCCGTCCCATAGATGGCTTCCGATTATCAGCTGATTAGTATGAGGCATAAAGCCACTATCTGGTTAATATGAGGCAATAAAACTACTATCTGGTTAATATGAGGCATAAAGCCACTATCTGGTTAATATGAGGCATAAAAAATCTGGTTAATATGAGGCTTAAAGCCACCAAGGTTAACTGTAGAGCAGATGACATGGTTAACAGTAACCTCCGATGAACATTTATTGTGGCCTCTCAATAGGGCAATGGGTAGAGTGTCGGACCAGACAGCAGGAGACCAAGGTTTGAGTCCAACATGGACACAAAAAATGTATTACAATATGTTTTGGTTTACACATTCATTGTCATTAATATATTAACCCACTAGTGGGCACTGTCGGGACAGTCTGAAGCCTAGAAGGCACAGTAGGGACCCTCTGAAGCCATTGTATGGGACTGATAACGCCTAATGTCCATTTCATGGACTGATAACATCAGAATCCCCTGAACCTTAGAAACATAAAGGATAACACTCACCTCTACTGCGTTCTAGGCTTTTCCTGCCTAACCTTTAACTGTGTGGAGAACAACTCACCTTTCCTTCAGCTGCAAACGTCTGCAGGAAGTCCTTCAGCTCAGTTTTCAGGTCATTGTAGCCTGAAAGAGGGGTTAGTACTGTCAACACAGCTGCATGGCATCATGGGAATTACAGTTCTGTCTGGACAGTCCTGTTTACCGTGGATGATCTCAAGCTGCTGAACTCTGTTCAAGTTATCCAGAGCAGACATTAGAGGGTCGTGACCCTGTTGTCTCAGTTCATTGCTCTTTCCTTTGTTTTCATACGCGAGGACGGTGTCCGACTCGTCCAGCAGGAAGGAAAGTCCCGCTGTGGACAGCTGCGCCTGAGACAGACAGGTTGGACAGAAAAGCTTGTAACAGGAGAGACACTGTGAGATTTGTCAGGTCATCAGATCAAAGTGCAGTCATCAGTTAAAGATGTGATGGAAAAACTCGACCGGTACAATCAGATCATCCCAAAGTCAATATGATACAGTGGTTTGCAAAAGTATTCATACCCCTTGAACTTTTCCATATTTTGTCACATTACAACCACAAACATAAATATATTTCACTGGAATTT